TAAAAACGAGCGTTCTTGCTCATTTTGCTTCCGAGAAACATGCGAAACGGGACGGAAAACATGAAATTTTGCAATAATCTTACGCCACCCTTGCAGAAAACGCCCCTGAGAAGTGGGCTCAAACGAGATTTTGGCCAACTGTTTCTTTTCTTTCTGAGCCCCATCCGGGGTGAGAGCAAGACCGCACAAGTCGTGTCTTGCTTGGCTCACCACTAGTTCCGTCAGCTCGCGCGGGGGAACAATTGAAATGCCCAAGAAAGTCAGAAGAAACTCTCACGATAGCGCACACAAAAATCAAGAACAATGTCGATCTAACCCACAATCGAACACAATGCCATTTCAATTAAATCGAAACGCATCCGATCGCCGGCATAAAATCGGTCGAAACCGAACTTCCGTAACAATTAACGTTTGGACGTGCATCTTTAAGAACTAAAACCACTGGTTAAACGATGTGATTGGCCTAAATTCGAAAATATTGCGAACGGCCTGATGCAGTTAAACCGCTTGCGTTTTTGTGCCTCTCAAAGGATCTTTCTCAAACCTCTAAATCGTTGCAGTCACAGTCTGCTGAATAGTCGCATTCAAATTGGCCGATTACATTACTCACATCCAAACCTCCCATAACTCTCGGTGCGCTTTTAATTGGGCAGAAATGGGATGCCCACAACTTAGCCACCGACAGTGGGTTATAAAACTTGTCCCAGTATTTTAACGATTGGGCACATGCAGGTTCTATCTCCAGCTCCCATATTCATATTATCTTAATTGAAATGTATGGTACGGCCAAAGTATATTCACCTTTTACAATCAATGGGGCTGAATTTGCATCAACTTTCTTCTTTTTCCGCTCGGTGTTAGCGTGAAGAACCCTTCATTATGTTGTTGAATACATCGAGATTAGGCGGAAACAAGGAAAGTGAATTGGACAGTGTAAAGAGGATTTGTTGGTATGAGGAACTCGAGCCTAAGCGACCTGTTTAATGACACATTGATTTTTTTTAATGCGACAAGCGCTATGTATCGAAGTTGCTGTTCCATATGGCTCATCGGAATAATAAGTACCGGCAAAAATGCATCGCAATTAGTGGAGCGTGCAAAGAAAAGAGAAAGCATTTGGCTTATTGGAGCAAGTTTACGCGAGTTTACTCTATATGCGATCAGCAATGTAATAATAACGATATTAACAAGTCAAGCATTATATTCTTTTATTTTCGATCCTTAAAACTGTACAATACAAAAATACGGCTATCTATGTCGAATAGTTCTTAAAATATAGTTGAAAACTGAAAAAAACTGAATAATTTAAATTTAGTATTCCCAATATACGCAACCAGAAAGACCGCCAGTCGGCAATTGGCGCGCAGTTTGAAAATTATCATTTAGCGTCGTGAAGCATTTTTGTAAAACAAGTTGAAGAAGCGTATTTAAATAAATTGTGTTGAGTTTCCTAAACGCTATTATTAAGAGAGTTTTTAAAGTCCATGGCCAGTTTTCTGCTTGCATGTTGTCTACAGACATTGCGCTAAATGTAAATTTTTAAACTGCGCGCCATTGACCGGGTCAATGTATTAAAATATCTCGGTTATCGCTAGACGCGAGCACAGAATATTCCTCTTTTCTGGTTGGATATTCTGTGGACGAGAGTGTCGCGACCACAGATCACAGAGTGTCATATAATAGTTTGATAATCTGTGGTGTCAACTACTTTGTAATCTGTGGAAACTAGTGGGCCGTTCGACGGTCGTGTTTGATGTTTTTACGAATTGAAAATAAACCAAAAAAATGTATTGTTTTTTATAAAAAAACACGTACGAAGACAGATAAATGAATAAACCAGATGTTTTGCTAGTAAAAGCTTTGTACAGGCATGGCAAATCCAAAAAACCGTAAAACTGATCAGCAATGTATAGACGAAAACCCCTTCGACGGATTCCTGATAGATGATAATGCGATCTTGAATAGTATCGAAGGTAGACACCCTTGCCCTAAATGTGCCAAATCCCGGAAACTATTTTGCTATTCATGTTTCATTCCAATTGCCCCCCTGGAAGGAAAGCTGCCCAATGTCAAGGTTAGTGCTGGGTACACAACCACCCTTATTCTCTATTCCCCCTTCAGTAAGCAACTATCTCTTAAGTGCCCTCTAACACAAACAGGCTTGTAGTAAAGTGGGACAAAGAACGAATTGACTTCTTGCTTAGACTGTGCACATTAACTTGTTCTCATGTCAACACTAAATGAGTACGAACTTGTAGCTTCCACTGAAAATCGACATAATCAAGCACAAGCACGAAATAGACGGAAAAAGCACTGCTGGCCACGCAGCGCTGCTGGCCAGCAACGACGTGAACATCTACACATATCCAGACATTCCCGACTACACGAATGAGGCGGTGGTGATGATTTTTCCTGGACAAAACGCCATCAGTGTGAGCCAGTTAGTAAGTGGAGAGAACGTGCAAAGTTTGCAACAGTTTCAGAGTCAGCCTTTAGACCAGCTGCCGCCAGGCTATAATCGCAGCACGTTGATGCAAACGATCCCCAAAACCCGGGAGGAGACGGGCTTCACTCAAAGAGTGTCCAAGCTCCCCATTTCCAAAGCGGTGTTCATCGACAGCACATGGCATCAGTGCAAGAGCATCTACAAAGATGAGAAAATTCGCGCTATTCCATGCGTGGTAATCCAAAACCGGGTGTCACAGTTTTGGAGACATCAGAAAGGGAGCCCTAGATGGTACCTGGCAACAATTGAAGCTATTCATCAGTTTTTACTGGAAATCCACTTGCACTCTTGGGGCTTGAATCCGAACTACAAAGGCATACGGAACTGTTTCACCGAAAAAGGCCTAGAACAGTTCGATGGTTTGTACAGTGAGAATAGCCAGGCTTATAACGGACAGTACGACAATTTGCTGTATTTTTTCAAACACATGTACGAAGTGATTCATACGTATTACCAACACGAAGATCTTTACGCCTATAAAAGGAGGCTCAAGTGATTTATCAACATATTTGCCTTTGGGAATGAGATGAATGAGTCAAGAAATAAAATGTTTCTTGTTTGCATTTGAATAGTTTGATTGACGGTCTTCAAGCAACATCTCCAATTAAAACCATCTCAAATATCGCAAAGAAAAATAAGTATCATACGCTGATATTTCCAGGTAATGTGTTATTCATATTTAATCACTCCAAAAATGTGTGTAACTTCAGAACTCGATACAAACATTTAAACTAAAAGGCCGCAACCAACTTACAGCACAGGAAATGCCATGGTAAAAACATTTACAACTTACGCAGATCTAATACAACGACACTTCCATCCGAAGCACTCGCCCCCACTTTGTCCCCTCTAGAATTCCAACACACTTCGAAAATTCCTCCTGTACCTTTATAGCTGTGGACTAGTTGTCCAGACTGCGTTGACCAGATGTGTACGCATTTATCAAAACTGCCACTGGCTAAAAATTTCCCATCGGGACTGAAGGCAACAGAGTAGACTGGTTCAGTGTGTTTCGTCAGCGTATGCATACATGCCCCTCGCTCAACATCCCATAAACGCACAGTGGAGTCAAAACTAGCAGACGCCAGTATCAGATTCATGTTGGGATTTTGAGTACCGGGTCCAGTGGGGGACCATTTAATTGTATAGATTTCCTTTGAATGAGCTTGCAAGTCATGAACGCAAGTGTCTTGTTTCATTGACCAAATCTTCAGGGTCATATCATCCGAACACGATGCCAACAGGTTTCCTTGAGGGTCCCACTTGATTGCATTCACTTCATTCTGGAACAGTATAAGAATAGAATCATATGCCGAATGGGACAAATGCAGTACAGTACAGTGTGTCCTTGGAATGATTTAATCGGCCTATCCATTGATAGTTTGCATACGTGAATGCACTGGTCAGTTGAACATGAAGCAAACGATGTATTTGTTTGCCAGTCGACATCCAAAGCGGGCGCTGAATGGAAACTGAATTGCTGAGTGCACTGACCACTTGCTGCGTCCCAAATAATTGTCGTTTTATCCACCTAAAAAGTTTTGGTGGTCAGTTCATCCGGTGATTCGGCTACAGCGGTCTGATTGCCACTTACACCAGCTGAGAGAATGTAGTTTCCTTTCTTGTTCCACTTCAATGCAAATATTGGCCCTTTATGCTGTCCCAGTGTAGTGGTTAGAAGTCCAATAGTATTCCAAATTCGAGCATAACCGTCGTAACTTCCTGTAGCCAAAAGCGAACCATCACACTAGAATACAATCGGTAGTAGTTAGATAAACTCATTAAAATTTGCGGGAAATATATACGTTCCAATCCAAAGAGGTCACATCTTTGTTGCTAGGCACTTCGCATTCTCCCTTTCTGATACAATGTCTTAAAATGAGTTGAGCTTTGGGCTCGGCATTATCATTCAGATCCCATATTCGAGCAGTGCTATCACCAGAACCGCTTGCTAGCAGATCTTTGGTCGGATTCCAAGCACAGATAAACACTTCCGATTCGTGACCTCTCAATGCCGTTGCTTTCGAAGGTGGAATTTCTATAGATGAATCCAGGTCCATCGCCTCAGCTTGGGCAGGAGCAACCGCAGCTGAAAGTTAGCATTAGTTGAAACTTGTATATACTTTCCTGACTTTCAATTCCAAATCAAAATTAATTCCTGGGTTTCAGTCATTTATTGTCTTTATTTATCAATTATATATCAGGAATTAATTTTGATTTGGAATTAGTTGAAACACCAGAAGTGTGCTAATAATATGGTTCGATCCAATATAGTGCAATACAGTGGTGCTAAAACTTTACCTTCCTCTCCATTAGCTTCATTTGTTTCGTTTTTAATTGCCTGTTTCTGCTGGTTCTGTTGATTTTGTCTTGTGGCCACCACGTCGGGCATCACCGCATCAATGAGGCTGAGACTTTCAACCAGACGGTGCTCCGTCCCATCCTCCCCTATGCTAATTTCGGCCTCCGTGTACTGCAGCCCCTTTTGCAGAATACTGAGGAGAGCCGCAGGGGGGACCAGAGCCCCATTTATGTTCGACTGAGAAATATGCGATTCGATGCCGAACGTGTACGCAGAATGTTGAAAGCCTGCCATTCACAAACAGTGTTCTCAATTAATGTGTTCATTATGGGGGGGCGAACGCTACTTGCCTGACTCCTGCAGATAGCGGTACACTAGGAAATTCACTTCGTCGCTAGTTAAACTCATTGTAAATTTTCCATTCAGTGAATGTGAGAATCAACTAACCAACCACACTAGTCTTTTGAATTCCAAGTTTTTGTTTGATAACTATCAAGTAGTACAGAATACTACGCGGTTTCAGCAAAAATTGTTGCTTTGGATTAAAAACCCACTGTTGAAAGTCGTTATTCAGCTAGCGGCAAGTAGTGACCACGTTACAGGCAGAATAAGGCCTAAGGCATATAAACAGAATAAGAAACTAATCTCGCGTTTTCTGGCTTCATTTATGGACGATCCAATATTTCTTACTGAAATTATTGAACATTAACAGACGACAAGTTTGGCACTCAAAAATACTCACCATCAGCCCTCGATTTAAACTGAATTTACACCTAACACATCAATAACACAATAATAAAAATAAATATATCAGCTTTTGTGATTTGTTGCCTTCACTGTAAACTGTAATATAGTTTGACAGTTCTCCATCAAAGCTAAACATATGACAAATCCGACGTTGCCGATTATCACGATGAGTGGGTCAAGAAACTATTCTATTTATTTTATATAAAAAAAAACAGTTTTTTTAATGCATTTGCGTTGATGGCTTCAAACGAAAAAGAAAAATGAAGAAAGATTTAATACATTTTGCGGTAGTTTTCTATAAAAAAAGGTTTTTTTAAATACCAATAAAGGTACTTAAGTAGGGAAGGTTTGAAAAAAGTTTATTGGGTGATTTGATCCCAAATATGAAAAAAAGCCAAATATGCATGGGTCCACAAAGGGTTCGTTTTCGAAATACAAGGTACAAAATTATAAATTTCTGCACGACCGTTCGACAAATGTTAATGAAACTGAAAAAAAAAAAATGGTTAGTGAACGTTGTATAGAGGTGCGCTATTTCAAAACATTTGATTTTTAGCAATGACCACAGATCACAAAGTAACCTCTGTGATCTGTGGCAGTGACGTGTCTACCGCCATGTTTTTGGATGTTTTTGAAGGAAAAAATCGCACGCTATCAATTTTTTGAAGAAAAGTAGTCCATTTTGAACAAAAATGTGCGTGGAAAAAATAAAAAAATGGTGTGCATCACGGGACGCTCGACAGAAGTGATAACTTCATAACTTGTTTAACGCATGATGGCATTAATTATTTTATTTTATAATTTTAATATTCTTGTTAGTCTAATAATTTGTAAATGGTTCAGGAATAGGTAAAATTTAATTTAATTTCCTTTTGAATGTAAAATATCTTTTATTTGCAACATTTAACATTCTTTAACGAAATGTTGTACATATTGCTCTTCTTGGGTTTGTGTAAACTCTTCTTCTTGAGTTTCTGTACTTTTTTATTCGTAATTTCTTATATGCTTTGTATAATCTTTGACGTTCAGCACTAGTTCGTGGTTGATGAAAGCTACTTTGAGTTGATCTATTACTTACTGCTCCTTCTTTAGCACGAAATCGTTTTTGGCGTTCATCATTACTTAATACTTTTCGCATTATAGCATGTTTTTGTGACTGCTCTTGTCTATGTTGCTCATGAATGTCTGCTACAACTTGTATCTGAATAGGACTAAAAAATCAATTAATTTTGGTGATTGGAAAACATTCTATCTGTTTAGAATAGACGGTAAAACGAGGAAGAGCTATAGAGACAGGATACACTTGACACGCTATATATATACATAATGTGAGCCATCGCGAGTATGTTCAAAAAAATATTTTAACTGAACTAATCCAAGGCTAAAAAAATTAAACTAAATTGAGTAGATTTAATCATAAAGGAATCAAAGGGTATATGATTGGAAAAAATCCGTTTTGAAGCGTGGTAAACACAATTAATCATAGAAATAATATAGAGAATTGAAAATAAGCCCTAATAAATTCGTTTTACATATTTTACAACGATAAGCTGAAGAGAGATTCGTATCGTCTTAACATCAAGAATGCGTTGCGTGATCGAAAATAAGAAGACGGAACCCATGTTTTTTGAAATAACCGAGGTAAACTCAAATATGTTTTCAATTAAATTCAAAACATATTTATTACATATTATTACAAAACAGTAATGATGTTTATCATTTTATATTAAATATGAAAGATTACAAAATAGATATCTAAATATTGATAATTTGTTGTTACAAAATAAAATAACAAATAATAGAACATATTATTGCATTAAAAGTTATTAATAATAGGTGTGACACTTTATTTGCACTTAATCTTGAGCGTTTTTGATAAATTGTCCCTGCCTTCTTTAGAAAATATCCGCTCAACATCTGGTTTAACAATTGTCTCCGATGAAAATCACTAAACAAGTAGGTAATAATATTTTACCGAATCGTGCAATACAATGCAAATGGACATCATCTGGGCAGCATATGGACTACAGACGGAGAGTAAGACATAGGGAATTGGTACCGAGATTCTATCGATACGATTTAATTTAATTTAATCTTTTCTTGATGCGAATTTGCGTCCACAATCAATCAGGCGATTTAAAATAGGTCCAACAGTTTTTCAAAAACTTTATTGTAGTGGATCTTAGGCACAATATTCCTTCACAACATCGATTGTTAGTTTTTAAAACAATATTTAACAGTACACGGCAATGGGCATTTGCAATGATAAATACCCGGTCGTTTGAAGATGATTTTCAAAAGTTTGTAATACATTTTTCTGCAAATTGATGGACGATCCACATTTTTTTGCACTTAAACTGCTTTAGTGTGAATAATTGTGTGTGTACTTTAATTGGAAATTTAAAAGAGGGCGAAACTCGAACAGGCATTTAGTACATGAGCACCCTTAACCTAGTATTTGCAGTATCTGCAGCTTCTCCCTTGATAATTTGTTGATTCATTGTTATCAGCGTTATAAAATAAACTGCACCGAACACAATAATATCACACTCAATAATTGATAAATCGAAATCACCGTCAGTTTAATAACGCAATGTGTATTTGAAAAGTTTATTAGATCTACAGATGCACCCGCACTAAGAGAAAAATGGCGAATTCAAAGTGCATTTGTGCGTCCCAAGCCTCAGGCGCGAAGAGGCCGGAGTGGGGGTCGCCATGACCGAGAAAAATCGGACTTCACAAAAAATTGAAAACTTCAAAAAGGTTTCAGTATTATTCCCTTAAATGCCTGGGCAAACGCTTACCGCTAACAAGTTTACGTTCATTGGTAACCGTAAAGCCATCAATCAAAGCAACTTTTCGGGTATTTACTAGCTTCTCTCATTGAGTTTACCGTACATGTTTAATCCTATAAAGCAAAAATTTTTTTGCAGCCGAGCGTAATCTCAGTCTGGAACGGTCGACCAGGTCGACCTCATTTCCAAGGAACGGTAAAGTTGTGTGGTTGTGTGAAAGCGCTAGAGATCCCGCTTGGTAAATCTGGATCGACTATGCGCGTATCGCACTTGCAGAAAATATCTGGATTTCCAGACGCACGACCTGGAATGACCCCAGGAAGTGTCTCCCCCTGGCAGCTAGCGTTGGTAGTGATGAGCGGACGGGAGACGGCAGGCCTTTATTTAGGCCTTACTAAATGAAATAGGGAAAAGGGCGAAAATGGTGTCGCGGACGTGGTAGTGAAGGTATGGCGACGGGTGGAAAAAGTGCGAAGAAGTTGGACGGCGTGTCCCCAACTCCAGCCGAAGGGGAGTCGTCGGACAGTGATGGGGAGACGGAGCCGGCCAAATCGTTTCATAGACGGTGGTCAACAAACCGCGAAATAAACAATTCGGTACGTTCAGTGGTGTGTTTCAACCAAAAACAAAACCCACCCTTTGTGTGTTTTGTGGAAGAGCCGCATGCCGACTATTTTCGCTCTGTTTAATGGATTGTTTCTAGTAGACTGCCAGCACTATTATTTCGAATTGTTCAGGTTTTAATAGCTTTCCATTAAACGTATACATTGTTTGGCGGTTGTTGGTGCTTCTGGCATGTATGTAAATGAACGCTTATCAACGTTAAATGAGGCCCCGTAATGTTGTTTAGGTACCAGTTGCGTGTGTTATTACTTGTACATTATCCTCAGTAGCTGTAACTTGCTGACGCCTGTACACCTACATCGAAACTAAAATATATTTTTCAATGGAATGTTGTGTTTTTTATTATTAACATTCTTCCATTCGGTGCACGTTAATTTTGTTCGCCCTGCGTTGCAAGAACGGTAGACGTAATATCGATTTGGGCCCGTCCTCCGATGGTTTTGCCCTAAATCCCCTTATTACCTTTTCCTTCTCATCTAGATAATCATGTGTTCAAAACGCCCACGAAACTCGTATTTATGGGGTAACAGGTGTCCTCAGGGGCGGATCCAGCTTTAAAGTCAGGGGGGGGTTATGTAGAAAAAATACAGTCTTCTGTTATCTATGAAATTAGAAAAATGATCGTCGTTTTGTGCAAGGGTGGCGCAAGATGATTGCAAAATTTCATGTTTTCCGTCCCGTTTTGCATGTTTCTCGGAAGCAAAATGAGCAAAAACGCTCGTTTTCACATCATTCTAGACAGAAATGAATGGCCTTTTTAGAAAGTGAACCATCGATAAGGAAATGTTGGCAGTTTTCTCAAAAAATGCTTGAATTCAAGAAGTTTTAGGTTTGCGTGGTTT